ATATATATATAGGATGCAGGCCACAGCCAGCCCTGATGAAACTCCTCTTACAGCTGACTGATTGGCTGATCACATCAGATCACATCATGGAAGATGACTACAACATTATACAACTGCCAAATTACATCATTACATAACTGCCAAACTACATCATCACATACATAACTGCCAAACTACATCATTACATAACTGCCAAACCACTGAGAATCATGGCCCAGCCAAGCTGACCCACAACCTTAACCATCACACTGCCAGATCTTCATAAGGCTTACGTTTAGAAATGACATTGGGTCTATTCTGCTCTAGGTCACAGGAGTAGGCCAGATTCAAAGGGCAAGGACCACACAAAGACTTGCATACCAGGAGGACAGGTCCACTGGGGGGGCCACTAAAGGAACAGTACCACATGTAGCGGGGAGGAACTGTGACCAGTGGAAATTTCTACGGTCCTGCAACCACAGGCACAGGTATCTAAGAAGTGACTGTGTTTCAAAATTCCTCAGTTCCCTGGCCATATCAGGACCCCTGGATTGGAAAGCAGTGACCAGAGCCATGTATCCCAAACTGCTCCATGAACAAAGGGGGGAAACAAGGGCTTCCTTATTGCAGGAATGTCTCCTTATCTGAGACTTTAAGGCATGGAGGGTAAGTTTCTCATTGCTCCATAGTCCTGACTTTTCTGCTGTGTCCTCACAGCTGTCCTCTGGCTCTCGTGATGTATGTTGGTAGTCTCTCTTCTCCCACATCCTCCCATGGGGCCTTGATGATATTCAGTGTCACCACAGGGCCAGAATGTGAGTCTCAGGGGTCTAATGTGGGCTCCCTTGGTAGGAGCAAATGACAATTGCTCACTTGCTTCCTAAAATGGTGACCTGGTACACACTTCCATCAGCACAGCAGTGGCCCATGATCAGAATGACAACCTCCATTTGACCACTTGCTAGACTCTTACTGGTATTTTGAGACTCAACCCAAAGGTTATCTCCTTCTCAAAGCCCAGGTGGACCCACTCGTAGGCAGTGTACCCCATCTTTCATGTGTGTTTCCATGAAGAGCAAATAATGGTACTGTTAGCTAACATTTATTGGGTACTTATTATGTGTTTGATACTGTGTTAAGGTCTGTCTGACTCTTGAACCTGAGTGATTAACCACCTCATGGCTCTGCCTGTTTGGGGATGTTCCTCTGTGTGGCAAAGACCTCCAATTTTCCCCTTTCGGAGAACCAGGGCTTTGAACCCATTCACTCTGGTTTGAACCCCTGCTGAGAATTTGCATTTCCACTCCAGATATACGAATCAGAATCTACATTTTAACAAGATCCCCTGGATTAGAAATGCAACTTCTCAGCAGGGGTTCAAAGAAGGGGAAGGAGAGGAACAAACTTGTTCAAAGCCTTGCTGGGAACATAGCTGCCCAGCTGGAGATTGTTTCCTAACTACTGCATGACTAGGTGTGGGCGAACCTATGTTCTCACCAGTGGAATGTGAGAAATTTCCATGCCACTTGTTAAAAGGGAATCTCTTCTGTAGGACTTCCACTCTTCCCCCCTCCAGTGCCTGCAACCCAGCTTGGCCATGTGGACAATGATGGTTCCCTAGGAATGGTGGAAGAACAAAATGGAAGGGACCTGGGTTTCTGGATGACTGTGTGGATTAGAGCCATCTGCAAAACTCTGGGCTGATAATGAGAGTGAAGTAACTTTCCATATTCTCTAAGCCACTGTATTTTTCGGCCTGTTTGTTGCAGCAAGTGAAACTGCACCCTAAATAATTTGCATTGAGATTATCTGTTTCATCTCTCCTTGAGAGAGAAGTGCTTGAGGGCAGGGACCACCCCAAATTAATCTTCATATATTTGGCTTGGCAGAATGCCTGGGACCTAGCAAGTACTCTAGAAAAAATGCTCCTATTGAACAAATTGCTACTTCTTATATTGCTGCTAAAATGCCTACCAGAAATGTCTGAGCATTAAGACTGGATGCAGGCATATCTGAAAAGGAAGAACTGGACCTTGGCAAAAACTGGGACCAGGACGCTGGACCTGCAGCATTCTTGAGACTGGAGGGAGGGATGTGGTCTGATTGTAGTCACACAGTTGCCACAAGTATGGCTACATGTGCTAGGAAGGCCTGGCCAGCAGGACCGACAAAGGCCACTCCGAGAACTGCAAAGGCGATTAAACCACAAGATGCCACACAGTGGCTTCCTAGCTCTTTTCTTGAGCACATTCCCTTGGCTGAGGAGCATCCGGCTTTAAATTTGGGACAGCAGGAGATGGCAGCCGTACTGTCTATCAGTATCATCTGTCGTCATCTTTGAGCTGCCAGTGTGACAGCTGGGAACGAACAGGATCCGGTTGACTGGCAGGATGTTTTACACCTAATGAGTTTGTGCGCAATAAGAGTATAATGAATAAGGCTCTAGAGGAACTTGGTTATCACTTGCATTCCAAAAGTGAGATATGGCCTTACCAGAAGCTCACAGAGCCATCTGTCTTCAAATATTAGTCTTTGTGTCAATGGCTGGACTGGCCCGAGGAAATGAAAAACATCAGTGGATGGAGGCAAGTGACGACGCTACGTCGTTTAAAGAGATTAAGGGCGTTACCTTAAGGAGCCAGAGATTTCAAGAAAATTTTGAAATATATAAAACCATGACCAAAAGCAGTTAGACTTGAAATCTTGGCTGCTAAATGCTAACGAGTACTTCCATCAGACGAACTCAGTTCTTGTCACTTTGGGGTAAGTTCTTGAGTAATATAATTCTTATCTTATTTGGGGCTGGAATTTTTTCAATCTTCTTTAGTGGGTTTTTGCCCAGTTTGATGCATCAAAAGCTGACTGTCACTGAAGCACTCTGCTGGTGACACAACTACTGGTAACAGTGATACTGACAGCGGACAGAAGCTTGAGAACCGGATAAAAGCTGTTAGGATTTGTTGTTTGGTTTCCTCATTTTTTGTTGAGGAAAAGGAGGAGGAAGCTCACAAGCTGTCACAAATAGATAATTGGGGCCTAAATGAAACTCAACAATCCACACCATAACTAAATGTGGAACCTATCAAACCACACGGTAGTGGGAAAAGTCAGCCAGAGTGGTATGTTGACCATTTAAAAAGGAAGTGCAATTAGAAAGGCAATTAATTGAAAGTTTAAGGATAGCTGTCTTAGGCTGGGTTCTCCAGAGAAGCAAAACCAGTGAAGCATGTGTACATGCATATATATATATATCTTTATCTCACGGAAATGGCTCACATGGTTGAAGAGGCTGGCAAGTCCCAAGTCCATGGGTCAGGTGTCAGGCTGGAGGCTTCTCCTGACTCACATAGCTGTAGGAGCTGACGAACCCAAGGTCAGCAGTTCAGACGGCAGGTAATCTTTTTAATTATCTCCATTCTAGTGGGTGTGAGGTAGTGAGTGTGTTGGTTTCCTAGGGCTGCCATAACCAAAAACCACAAAGTGAGTAGCTTTAAAGAACAGAAATTTGTCTCACAGTTCTGGAAGTTTGGAGTCTGAGATTAGGGTGTCGGCTGTGTTGATTCCTTCTGAGAATCTGAGAAAGAATCTGTTCCATGCCTCTCTCCTAGCTTCTGGTATCCCAGGAGTTCCTTGGTTAGCTGATGCACCATCACACGGTGTCCTTCTTCTGTGTCTCTGTCTCTCTCCTCTTTTACAGGACACTAGTCATACAGAATTAGGACCCACCCTATTCCAGTATGACCTCGTGTTAACATAGCTGATAACATCTTCAAAGACCTATTTCCAAACAGGGTCACATCTGCAGGTACAGGTGTTAGGACTTATATCTTTTTGCGGGATGTAATTCAATCCATAACAGGTAGTATCTTATTGTGGTTTTGATTTCTCTGATGGCTAATTGGTACTGAACATCTTTTCATGTTCTTATCAGCCATTTGTCTATCTTCTTTGGAGAAGTGTCTTTTCATATCCTTTGCACATTTTAAAAATTGGATTATCTGTCTTTTTATTATTGAGTTGTATGTGTAATTTATATATTCTGGATAAAATCCCAAACTCACTGCTGTCGAGATGATTCTGACTCGTATCAACCCCATAGGACAGAGCAGAACTGCCCCATAGGGTTTCCAAGGATTTTTTTTTACATTTGCCTTTTCTTGTCTTTTTATATAAGTGAGGTCATACAATATTTGTCCTTTCGTGATGGACTTATTTCACTCAGCATAATGTCTTCAAGTTCCATCCATACTGTAGTATGTATCAAGACTTCATTTCTCTTACTGGCTGAGTAGTATTCCATTGTATTTATGTACCACATTTCATTTACCCATTCATCTGTTGATGGGCATTTAGGTTGTTTCCACCTTTTGGCTATTGTGAATAGTACTGCAATGAATACTGGTGTACAAGTCTCTTTTTGAGTCTCTGCTTTCAAGTCTTTTGGGAAGGAGTGGAATTGCTAGGTCATATGATAGTTCTGTTTTTAGTTTTTTGAGGAACCATCACGCTGTTTTTCACAACGGCTATACCATTTGGCATTCCCACCAGCAATGGATAAGGGTTCCAATTTCCCCACATCCTTGCCAACATTTGTTATTTTCTATGTTCTGTTTTTTAAATCTTAGCCATCCTAGTAGGAGCAAAACGGTATCTCATTGTGGTTTTATTTTCATCTCTCTGATGGCTAATGACACTGGTGGCCATCTGAATCCAAAGTTGTAATCTTTTCAGAAGCAGATTGCTACATCTTTTTCCCACAGAGTGGCTGGTGGGTTGGAACTGCCGACCTTACCGTTCGCAGCTGAGCACTTAACCCCTGCACCACCAGAAGTCCTTATATTCTGAATCCAAAACCAAACCAAACCCATTGCCTTTAATTCCGACTTACAGCGACCCTACAGGACAGAGTAGAACTGCACCACAGAGTTTCCAAGGCTGTAATCTTTACGGAAACAGACTGCCACATTTTTCTCCCATGGAACAGCTGGTGGGTTCGAACTGCTGACCTTTCTGGTTAGCAGCCAAGAGCTTAACCACTGTGCAACCAGGGCTCCTTTATATTCTGGATACAAGTCCGTTTAATTAGATACATGAGTTGCAAATGTTTTCTCCCATTCTGTGGGTTGTCTTTTTACTTTCTTGATGCACAGAAGTTTTAACTTTGATGAAGTCCAATAATTTATTTTTTTCTTTTGCTGTTAGCGCTTTTGATTGTCAGAGCTAAGAAACTACTGCCTAATGCAAAGTCACGGAGATTTATGCCTACGTTTCCTTCTATGAGTTTTGTAGTTTTAGCTCTTACATTTAGGTCTTTGATCCATTTTGAGTTAATTTCTGTATGTAGCATGACATAGAGGTCCAACTTCAATTGTCTGAATGTGACTATCCAGCTGCCCCAGCACCATTTGTTGAAAAGGCTAATCTTCCCCCACTGAATGGTCTTGGTACTCTTGTCGAAAATCAATTGACCATAACTGTGAGAGTTTAGTTCTGGATTCTATATAGATCAATGGAATATGGAGTTAATTGAATCAATACTCCATTGATCTATATGTCTATTCTTATACCAGTACCACATTGTTTTAATTATTGTAGCTTTACAGTAAGTTTTCAAGTAGGGAAGTGTGACTACTCCAACTATGTTTTTCTCTTTCAAGATTGTTTTGGCTATTCTGGTCCCTTGAATTTCTATATGGATTTTAGGATCAGCTTGACAATTTCTGCGAAGAAGCCAACTGGAATTTTGATGGGCATTGCATTCATCACTTTATTTTCTGATAACACTTCAAGCACATAGGCTGGTTCATATTTATGTCATGAAATTTCACATTAAACAATTTAGAAAACTTAAAAGGATTTGTTTATTTTGGCCATCACATATGAATACAAGGTTGTAGTTTGTTTAAAGACTTTTATTTCCAACAGACGTTACAGCTTATTAGTCATAAAAATCATCAAAATCATCAGTAGATGTGTTATGGTTTCTAGGACGTAAAGCAGCTTCAATTTCTGAGTTGCTGTCATCAGACTCACCCCAGAAGTCTGGAAGACAAAATCAAACAGCCATTTAACATCTCTGTACTCTGATCAGTTCAGCTTAATCGTTTATGAAACAGCACAGCAAGACTGGCCAGTTGGAGCAGTGGCCTGCCAAGGGTCTAGCAGGGACACCATATGATGCACCTGACCAGATACACCCGGAATGCAGGGCAATACTGTACAAATTTATATACTTCACAATGAGTTCAATGCATTGTTATGGAAAACACTTTGCAGAATACCTCCTTTTCTGTTCTGCTGCACCCAACTCTTGACTATAGGATGGAGGACTTAAAATAAGGGCCAACACGGAAGCAGGGTCAGCTGGGGTGTTTTACCAGGCCTGATACCACCTCACCTCAGCTGCTTCTCCATTTTTATCTCCCTTTTTCTTTACAAGAGCAGAGCGGAGAAGGGAGAAAGTGATATTGATCCTGGGACAAGGACTTGGATACATGTCGTTTATTTGGGAGGTGATCCCAGAAACAATAGGGAGGAAAGTGGAAGAGTGACGTAAGAAGAGAGGAAGCCAATAAAGAGTGGGTGCTGGCAATGGACAGCTGGAGCTCAATCCTGCTGGGGGCCCTCTGAGACTGTGTGGGACACACCTCAAATTGTCTTGGCAAAAAGAAAGGAAGTGAGGTTATTTATCCACCAACTCCCATCTCTCTCTGGTTGAGGGCTGTTCAGGGGGCATCAACTCCCTGGTACTTTGGGCTGCAATGTGAGGCTAAGCATGCCCCTGTGGGCAGAGAAAGCCCTCAGGCAGAGGTACACAAAGATGAGAGAAGGCTGTGGGCATGTATGGGAACTGAGGTGGCCTCCAGGGTGCCTGACAGGATGTGGTGGGGACACAAACGGCATTGCTACATTGACAATCTCCTACCATTGACTACTAACATCCACAGAGCTCGACCTTCCAGCTCTGTGCTGCCTTCTTATACACAACCCCATGTACTCTTCACACCACTCTGGGAAGGAAAGTATTAATATCTCCATTTCACTGCACAAACTGAGGCTTAGGGAGGTTAAGTAACTGGCTGCATCCACAGTGTTAGTGCATGACCAAGCCAGGAGTCCCACTCAGGTCATCTGACTCAAGCCAATGCTCTCAACTACAACCCACAGGGGATGAGGCTGAAGGAGACAAGAGGAGAGAGTCCATGCTCGGCAAGGGATATGCCACAGTGTTTCTATGGAAGGAGGGATAGGTTCCTCCTAGGAACTGGGCCTTGATGGATGAGTAGGAGCTCACTGAGCCAAGGAGAAGGGAATGGAACTTCTGATAGAAGGGATGGTGTGACCAAAGGCACAGTGGTGGGTGTATCTGGAGAAAACCGGTTGTGGCTAGACCCAAAGAGGGCAGGACCTTGGGAAAGAGCTGAGCTGGAAAGTAGGGATGGGGCCAGACCATGAAGGGAAAAAACTTGGACTCTACCGTTCAGGTAGTGGGCAGGCATAAGCAATTCTTAAGTAAGAAGGTAAGAAGGCTGAGTCAGGTTTTGGGTTCTGGCAGCCAGGTGGAGGACAGCCAGGAGCTGGGGAGGTGCTGGATGTGAGGATAAGAGTCTACTGCAAGAGCCTACTGCAAGAGCCGTGTCATGTCATGAGCAGTGGGTATTAGCAGTGAGAACGAGGACAGAGGTAACAAAAGTTTTGTAGGCAGAATAAACTGGTCTTGGTAATCAAGTAGGTGTGGAGTCAAGATCCCCTGCAACTTCATACCTGCAAACTAAAATGCTAAGCACCTGTGGCCCATTGCACACGTGTACTCGGGTCACAGACCCGGTTACTGGTGATGGTGTGTTAAGAAGCCAGGAACTGATCCCCTCAGAGACTAAGATCACCCCAGAGAGCCACAGAGCCGCTCCTCTAATTACAGACATGCTTCAAATCCCTTACACGTGGGAACAGACAACAAACACACATCTCCAATAACTCCTTTGTTAAAGTACAAAGTGAAAATCTGGTCTCCAGGTATTTCCCTTACCTTTAGATTTTAAGGTGGTGGTTAGTTTCCTTTTGTTTTCATGCCTGTAAAATAAAGAAGTGGCTTAAGTCCTGGAGAAAAAATGAAAATCAGAGTAACATTTTCACAATAGCACACGAGAGAAGGAGCACACGTTGTTCACGGAAAGGCCGGCGACTTTAATTTATTCTCCAAGTTTTAAAGCCAAACATGTCAGGACTCGCATTGCTGGGAGGTGTCCCTGCCTGACAGCACCAGGTGCACGCACCCCAACAGCTGTGTGGAGAGGGAGCCAGCGCTCAGTACCTGGCGCCTCCATGCGCCGGGCTGCTGCCAGAAAACGGTCACCTGTTTCATTTAACAATCCTCTGAAAACCACTAACGTACAACGCTTTAGCACTTTCAGACGAGTTAAAAGTGAAATACCTTAAATAGGGAATTCAAGATGTTAGAATGCAAGGATTAGAATGCTGGCTAGCAGACAGGTTTCCTGAGTGGGCCCTTTCAGGAGCTCTGCAATTGTAATGAGTTTGAAAGTGCCCTCTGGGAGCACTGGGCAGATTTTTGATTATACTTATATTCTTTAAGGTTCATACTGAATGGTCAAAGGGGACATTTAAAAAGAAACAGTTACTTGTGCTTGATATTTTGGTGTACTTTCTCATGTTTGTGCCAAATATTAGCTTGCAGATGCCCTGCTTCCAGAGGGGATGCCCAGTGTGCTGCCTCACCGCTCTTCTCACGGGCTGGGACTCTGGTCCCCTGGATGCAGGAAAGTCTGCGAATTCATCATGTCTATCCCTTTGGACCAGGTATGATAAGATGTTTACCTGTATTGTACTGACTGTGCAAAGGCATTCGACTGTGGGATCATAACAAATTACAGATAACATTGTGAAGAATGGGAATTCCAGAACACTTCACTGTGTTCATGAGGAACCTGTACTTAGACCAAGAAGCAGTCATTCAAACAGAAGGAGATACTGCATGGATTAAAATCAGGAAAGGTGTGTGTCAGGGTTGTATCCTTTCACCATGCTTATTCAATGTATATACTGAGCAAATAATCCGAGAAGTTGAACTATATGAAGAAAAACGTGGCATCAGGATTGGAGGAAGAATCATTAATAACTTGTGATATGCAGATGACACAACCTTGCTTGCTGAAAGGGAAGAGGGCTTGAAGCACTTACTGAAGAAGATCAAAGACTACAGCCTTCAGTATGGATTACACCTTAACATAAAGAAAACAAAAATCTTCACAACTGGACCAATACGCAACATCATGATAAATGGAGAAAAGACTGAAGTTGTCAAGGATTTCATTTTACTTGGATCCACAATCAACACCCATGGAAACAGCAGTCAAGAAATCAAACGATGCACTGCATTGGGCAAATCTGCTGCAAAAGACCTCTTTAAAATGTTGAAAAGCAAAGATGTCACTTTGAGGACTAAGGTGCACCTGACCTAAGCCATGATATTTTCAATCACCTCATAAGCATGTGAAAGCTGGACAATGAATAAGGAAGATCGAAAAAGAACCGACACCTCTGAATTATGGTGTTGGTGAAGAACACTGAATATACCATGGCTGCCTGAAGAACAAACAAGTCTATCTTGGAAGAAGCACAGGCAGAGTGCTCCTAGGAAGAGAAGATGGTGAGACTTCATCTCACGTACTCTGGACATGTTATCAGAAGGGACTAGTCCTTGAAGAAGGACATCATGCTTGGTAAGGTAGAGGGTCAGCGAAAAAGAGGAAGACCCTAGATGAGATGGAATGACACAGTGGTGGCAACAATAGGCTCAAATATAGCAACGATTGTGAGGATGGCGGGGACTAGGCAGTGTTTTGTTCTGTTGTACGTAGGGTCATTACGAGTCAGAACCAACTCGATGGCACCTAACAACAATGTGATAAACCTACGGCGTAAAAATCTGTCTTTGGCCTTAACAGCAAAACAACAACCCACTGCCGTCGAGTCGATTCCAACTCATAGTGACCCTACAGGACAGAGTAGAACTAACTGCCTCATAGGGTTTCCAAGCAGTGGCTGCCGACCTTTCAGTTAGTAGTGGAGCTCTTAACCACTGTGCCACCAGGGCTCTTTGGCCATAGTTGCCGTAATTTACATTTTAAGCATTTCTTTTTTCAGCAAAATAAGCTCCACTAAAGTATCATCTTCTAGGGTCAGTATCTGTCAAGGATCCCTTTAAACTCAGCGCCTGTTTCTTTATTTGCCATGATCTAGTCTTGGCCGGTGGCCACTTCTCCACGAGGAGCAGAGTCCCCTCAGACCATCCGAAAGGGCCCAGCTGTTACTGACGGTCACAGAAGCTATGGTATGGTAGGCGCTGATGCTGTCAGCCCACAAGAAATCACCTTCCATGAAGTGCACACGTGTGCGCACGCGCACACACACACACGCACACACACACAGAAAGTAAACACAGATATCTACCCACCCCCCATTGCAAGACGACACTGGGCTATGCACTGGGGGAGAGGTGGATTACCAAAAGGTTGCAGAAGTTGGGGAAAAGGTGAGATCCCTGCTGGCTGGGGTGACTGAGAGCATGGGGGTGGGCAACCTGTGTGGCTGTAGATCCCTGAGGAAGCAAGGCACCCCAGGACTTTGCTTTGCAAGACAGAAAGGATTTCACAGGCTGGGACTGACGGGCAGGATGTGCTACAATGGGGCAGTGGGGAGACCTTGACATGAGCAAGGGCAGAGGCAGATGTGACCTCAAGGCCAGGTCTCCACAGCCTAGGCCACTTCTCTGAGCTCCAGAAACACGTCCAACACCCACCTGACTGCCTCAAAAGGGCCTCACAGTCAGCATGCTTATCCACCACCAAACTCATGATCTGTTCCTCCAAGCGGGGCCCCTTCTCTACCCAACCAGGTCCTTCCTCTTGTCTCAGCAAGTGGCACCCTGTCCCTCCAGTCCCTCCAATCCCCTTCTCCACTCCTTTCCCCTCCCCCACCCAATCAGGCCCTAGTCCTGCCGAGTTTACCTCCCAAGGTCCTCCACGATTTCCATCAGCACCAGCATCACCCTGGCCAATACCACCAGCATCACCTGCGAGATCTCTGCAACGGCCTCCTAACTAGTAGGCCCACATCCATCTTTACTTACAATCCATTTTCTACTCAAAAGCAAGCACAAGCTTTTCAAAACCCAAATCTAATCACTGCTTCATTTCCTTGCTTAAAAATCTTCAATGCCTTCCCACTGCATTGGCACAAAAACCTAAATCCTGAACAGGGCCTCCAAGGTTGATCCTGTCAGCCCTCCACATTTCTACCCCTTCGCCCCTCTGCCTCCCCCAACTTAGTTCTTATTAGTGGATGTTTTACATCCATTCGTGTGACTAACTGCTGACCGACCCCTCCCCCTCTAGATGGTAAGCTCCATGAGGGCAGCTACCGTACCAGCTTCAGCTCACCTGAGCAACCAGCGCTTAGCACTTGGTAAGTGCTCAGTGAACATGTGGAATGGATGAATGAACCTCACTAAGCACAGGGCCTTACTTAAAGACACTCGATCAATACCCAGTGATACATTACTTGATTTGCATGTTTCTATTTAATATGTGGGGCCCTGGTGGCACAGTGGTTAAGTGCTCGGCTGCTAACTGAAAGATTGGAGGTTTGAACCTACCAGCAGCTCCACTGGAGAAAGATGTGGTAGTCTGCTTCCGTAAAAAGATTTACAGCCTTGGAAACCTTACGGGGCAGTTCTCTTCTATAGGGTTGCTATGAGTTGAAATCGACTTAATGGCAATGGGTTTGGTTTTGGTATTTAATATGTAACTTTAGACCCAAGTTGTCTGAGTTTCTTTGGCTTCCCTGCTGGCAAAAAGAAAAATAAAAGGAAAAGAAAAAGCCACAGTCAAGGCTGCAAACATCACCACGTGAAAACCACGTAGGTAGGCAAGTGTTAGTAGTCACTCAACTCATCAGAAGCAAGTCAGCAGGCAATGCTGAACCCCTCTGTGAAGGTGAGCCACTACAGCATTTCAGGAGACCTTTACTTTCTGCACGGGACTTTCTAGGCAAGCGGAAGGTCCTGAAGCCATATCTCCATGATGCCACTTGAGCTTGCTTCTGTTTGTCCTGTGGTTACACAGCTTGGCTTTGAGAACATTTTAGCCACAGGGAGTCAGCGAACACCCCAGCAAAATGTGAATTGTGTAATGGGTTCTTAATTGTCCATCTTACTAAGTTTTCTTAAAAGAAACATGTTACAGAACTAAGTGCATGCCGTTCACCCGCTGAGAAAGGTGGAGGAAGCCTTTAAGGGCTTCCCATCCCACTCTCACACCTCAGGGCCAATCATTCTTCCCTTTGGGAAGCCACTTCTGAAGCTTAAACGAAGCCCGTGGGACACTGCGATTCAAGACTGGTTTTTCTCACCTACAGGCTCAGGGCCCCTGTGCTCTCTGGTTTACACCTGATGTATAAGCTGAGGCAAGGCCAGCAGGCGTGGCAGAAGAACTTCCTGTGGAGCACTGGATAGAGCCAACTTGTTCAGCTACTACAGTAAACCAGAGAAGAACAAAAATAAACACACTGCTGAAAGCATAAGAAACAAAAGAGCTAAAGTTATAGGTTACAGGATATGGTCACCAGACCCCATCACCCGTGCTTGGAATCATACTGCCTAATCCTCTGAGAGCACAAAAGGAACGTTTCTGTCCTGTAAAGCAGGGGTCGGCAACACTAACTGTAAAAAGCCAGAGAGGAAACATTTTAAGGCTTTGGGAGTCATACGGTCTCTGTCACAACCACTCACCTCTGCAGCTGTCGCAACATGAAAACTAATGGATGTGGCTGTGTGTCCGCTAAACTTCATTACAGACTCTAAAATCTGAATTTCATATAATTTCATGTGTCATGAAGCTTTATTCTTCTGATTTTGTTCCCCAACCATTTAAAAATGCAAACACCATTCTCTGCTCTGGGGCTGTATGGAAGCAGGCAGTGGGCCGGATTTGGCCTGAGGGCCGCAGATTGCCAATTCCGTTGACAAGCACTACCCACACATGATGTACCCG